GGGCCAGCCTGTCCCGGCCAAAGGGCGCGGCTCAGCCCCACGGGGCATTGCCGGCACTGGGGCACTCCGGAGTCGGTGTGGTGAGGACCCTGCGTGGAGGCTGCCTGGTGAGGGTGCAGGGCTCTGGGGTGCATGGGGGGGAACCGAGGTTCCCCGTGGGTGGGTGGGTCTGTGCTGACAATGCTAGAAGGGGTCTGCTAGTGGGGGATGCTGTTTGGGGTAGGGGGAAGCAGCCTTAACCCTGACCTGCCCATCACTTGAGGCAGCTCCAGCCTAGAGGTGCAGTGCCCTGGGGGCTGTAAGAGGGGGGAGCCATGGCCCCTGTGCTGAGCAACTCCCCCTCTGCAGAGCAGACGCTGCTGGCTGCCAAGATGGACTATGCCAAGAAGTCACTAGGCCTGCTGTCCCCGAGCTCCCTCTCCAGGTAAGTGCCAACGGGCTGCAGCCCTGGGGGGTGAGGGGCAGCTGGCCGCAAGCCTGGGTCCCCTCATGGGGGAGGGGGATGCGGAGGGGACAGGCAGGGCCATGGTGGTCTTGCTGGGGGAGGGAACATTGCTGGCCTGTTTCTAGGCATGGGTTGGGTGGCCTGCCTCCGCTTAGCGGTACCACCCACTTGTGGGGCAGGTCCCGGCTGAGCCCTCCCTCTGTCCCAGGTGTGTGTCGGTCAGTGCCTCCATGACCCAGCAGCTGCTGTCCAGCCCCGTCTCCAGGCCCCGGCCCTATCGCATCAGCAACTGGGACCGGAGCCTCCGCAAGGGCCTGGTGGCAGAGAGCTTGAGCGACCTGCTTGAAAAGGTGAGCTGGGGGGGAGCTGGTCCCAGGGCTGGCCCGGCCTTGCCTGCCTGCCTGGCCTCACCTGTGGCATTGCCCGCCAGGTCCGGGCGGCGCTGCTGATGGTGGGCACCATCTCGCTGGTCCTGGATGAGGATGGCACCAGCGTGGAGACGGAGGAGTTCTTCCAGACGCTGGAGGAGGGCACCGTCTTCATGGCCCTCAGCAATGGGCAGACGTGGCGTGCGGCCAAGGTGAGCGACGGGCCCTGGACTGGACCCCCTTCTACCCCTGAGATCAGGGAGCTGGTGCCTTGAGGTCACTGGTTCCTGCTCCCAGTGCTGAGCCAGGACCCTTGTGCTGGGGCCAGGCCTGGGCTGTCTCGGTCCATTGCAACCTCCAGTCTCCTGCACTGGAAGGGGGCACTTGGTCCTGTCTGCCAGACTGGCCCCTCCCATATCCCATGCCAAGACCTGATGGCCTGGCTTCCCCAGAAGTGAGCTGGGCGGGGCATGCAGCCCACAGGATCACCCAGGGAGGGGCTGCTCCACCCAGGAGTGGGTGCTGAGCCTGGATCCTCCATGGGCGCAGATCCTGGGGCTCTACCCTTCACCCTCCCTGAACTAGGGGAGGCAGGTAAGATGAGGGGCCAGCCTGGGCCCCTTAAGGGAAATGGCCCTAGGCAGCCTACAGCTCTCAGCTGGCCTGGCCCCTGCCAGGGGCGGACTGGCAATCAAAATGGGTTGAGAACAGCCCTCCCCATTGTCCCCCTGCATGCCCCTCCCCCTTCCCCTGTGTCCAGGGCCAGCTCTAGGTTTTTGATGCCCCAAGCAAAACACTTTTGGCCCCCCTTTTTTTTTTGTCCAGGGCGGGTGCAAGTGCAGCTTTCTGGCGGGGGGTGGGTGCTCCGGGGGAGCCCAAACCCTGGGGCATTTTCATCTCCTAGCACTAGCCCCTTCCTTCCCCTCCCTGGCTTCTGCCTTCCAGTTTGCAGGGCTGGAGTCGGCGATCGGGCTCCAGCTACTTCCGGGGCTCCAGACCACGGGCTGGAGCTGGGTGCAGAGTGCAGTGCTGGGCCAGGCCACTTTAAAGTCTCAGGCTGTGATGTCACCACGCCTGGGTGTCTGTCCTCTCACCTGTTGCACGGTGTCTGAGCACGCTGCACAGGGCTCTGTACATGGCTGGCACTGGGGAACTTAAAGTGCAGGGCTGCTGCACCTAGTCACAAGCCCCCTTCCTCCAGCAGCTGGCCCTTAAGACAACAGCCCACCAGGAAATTCCTGGTATCCCATTGGGACAGTCCACCCCATCCCTGCTCTGTGCTAGCCCTGCAAAGCTCTGAGGCCAGAGGGGGGACTGTCTGTTGGGGACCCCCTGCTGGCCACTGGGGGCTCACATAGGGCAGGTGGCTGCTTGCTGACCTGGCACGGGTCTCTCTTGCAGACGGCAGGATACCAGCTGTCTCTCTCGCACAAGCCCCGCCGGAGGATCGATGTGGCTTGTGTGACCTTTGATCTGTACAAGACCAACCCCCAGGACCTGGGCTGCTTGAATGTCAAGGCCACGCTCTATGGCACCTACAGCATGTCCTATGACCTGCGCTGCTATGGGGCCAAGAGGCTCATGAGGTGGGTGCTGGGCAGAGCCCTTCCCCCAAAGCTGGGGTGCTGGGAGGTCACCAAGCCACTGATCTGAGCCCCTCTGCCAGGTGGCATGTCCACAGCAGCTCCCTCAGTCTGGGAGCATCGGCTCTAAGGGGCAGGAGCCATGGGGGGAGGGGATTAACCCCCCATGATTCCATCCATCTGCCCTTGTGCTGGAGGGTGGGGTGGGGTCTCCTCTGCCCTGGGCTCCAGGCAGGTGCTGGCCTCTCCCACAGCTGGCTACACCTCCCCCACTGCTGAGCCTGGGCCCCTAACGCTGCTCTCCCTCCGCCCCAGGGAAGCCCTGCCCTGGCCAGGCTGGAGGGTGGGGTGGGGTCTCCTCTGCCCTGGGCTCCAGGCAGGTGCTGGCCTCTCCCACAGCTGGCTACACCTCCCCCACTGCTGAGCCTGGGCCCCTAACGCTGCTCTCCCTCCGCCCCAGGGAAGCCCTGCGCTGGACAGTCTTCACCATGCAGGCCACGGGCCACGTGCTGCTGGGCACCTCCTGCTACATGCACCAGCTGCTGGACGCTACGGAGGAGCAGAAAGAAGCGGAGGCCTCGTCCCTGCAGAGCCTCCCGCCCCTTCCTTGCAGGAAGATGCTTCAGTGAGGACTCTGCCCCTGAGCACTGGACTCTGTTCACCCCCACACCCCCCCCACTGCTGCATCCGCCTGGGAGCGTGAGGCAGAGAGCGGGAGTCGGATCGGCACGGCACTGGCTGCATGGGCCCAGCTCCCTGGGGGCTGGCTCCCTCAGCTCAGCTGGACGCCCACCACCTTCCTGTTCCTTCTGCACTTGGCCTCCCAGCTGAATGGACTCACCTGCAACTGGTGCCAGCTGTGGACTTGCTGGGAGAGGCTTCCCCTGAATCCACCCCCCCTTGCATCCACATGGCTTGTCGCTGCCCCACGGCACCCACCCTTGTCGCTGTCTGTACTGCCTGGAAATATATTTATTCACATTAAAGAGGGTTTCTTAGAGCCTCCTGACTCCTGCTTGTTCACACCCAGCGGCTTGGGGGCATTGGCAGTGCCTGGCTGATCTCTGGTCTCCCCTGGTTACCACACCTAAAACCCCCTGGTAGGCTTAGGGGGTCCAAGAGGGGCTGAGCTCACAAGGAGAGTCAGGGCTGGGCCTGCTTGTGGGCAAGCCATCTGCCCCCTCTGGGAGGGCTCGGCTATGCCCCTGGCTTCAGCAGCACATGGCAGGCAGTGGCACTCCATGGGTGCTGCTGCCCCAGAAGTCAGCCTGGCTGCTGAGCTGGCTCTGTGCATGCTGCAGGAGAGGGCCCAGCCCTGGGAATCACTCCCTGGCGGAAGGTGAGTGCAGGGATGGTGTAAAGAGTGGCAGCTGGATGGGGCATAGGGCTATGACCTTTGTGTCTGACTCAGGACCCCTCTCCCTCTGCCCTGCTGGGCCTCTTGGCATTATGTGCTCTAGACCCGTGGTCCCCCAACCTTTTGGGGCTGCTGGGTGCCCGGGAGGCAGGGCTGCTCATGCAGTGGGTGCCTGGGAGCACCATTGGGGACCACTGCCCTAGACCCTTCCCTGATCTCAGGAGGCATCTAAGCTGCCTATGGGGGCTGGCAACAGCAGAAGTCAGCCCTGGTTGGATTTCTCACCACCTGCCTCTGGGGGGCAGGAGTGCCCTGAGGGGGTAGGTGGGCTGGCTGTGGCTTGAAGAGCCCAGGGCAATAGCCATTAGAGGCTCTGTTGCACTCTGGCAGGTGACTGCTCCAGGGCAAGTTATACCTGAGGCTGATGCTCCTGTGCAGGTGAGCAGCGGAGCCATAGCAGGGCCCAGAACTCCACTGGGGGAGTGGGGGTGAGACGGTTAGGGAAGTGGATTTAAAGTAAAATAGCAATACAGGTGAGGAAGGTTTGGCGCTGTCATCAGGTAGCATCAAGTGGGCCTGGCTGCGCTGGCATTTGTAGAGCCAAGAGAAACCTGAACTCTGGATTTGGGGACCCTGACCTGGAACTCTGCAGGCCCATGGTGGGGGAGAGCCCTGAAATGCCAGCCTCCCCAAGCACAGGGAGCAAAGTTACCTAGTGCCACGCCTACTGCCTTCGAAGGGAAATCTATTGGCCAAGCCCTCATCCCATGTGGGAAAGGTAGTGGGTGCCCAGAGCGGAGAGCCGGCTTACTAGGCCTCTACTAGCATGGAAACAACTCACCTTGGCAACCCTGGTCTTCCCTAGCCATTGCTGAGCCACTCAGATCTGATGCAGTTTGGCTGGCTCCTCCTTTTGCCCTTCTCTCGGGGGAAGGGGGGGTCCTCTCCCCCCAGAGCATGAGGCTACTCTGCTCCCTGTAAGCTGAGCATGTTTCTAGGGGTTCACCGAAAACACAATCGGCACAGGGATGGAAAAAACGAGGCAACTCGGCTCGAGACGGTTTCTGAAGGCTGCTTCTGAGCCCGCGGCCGCTCTGTTGCCAAGAGGCTGGAGCAGCTCTTGTGACAGGAGGCAGTGTGCACTGCAGGAAAGCACAGAACGGTCTTGTCTGCAGTTAGTTCAGAAAGCAGGGCAAGGTCCAGGGGAAACAGGCAGGAGCCCCTCCTGAGTAAGAGGGGCAGGGAGTGAGGAAACGGTGACGAATTGTCACAGGGCGGCTACAGGTGAGTTCCACCCTGAGGCCAGGCCAGCGTCGTAGAGGGCATCATGTCTTGCTGGTTACTAGATTGTGGAAAGGGCCCTTTCCATGGACAGCAGTGATCAGTTTACCTGTTAAAATTTCATCTGGGGGGAGATCAATGGGGCCCTTCTTGGGCAGGGAGAAAGAACCAACTCCTCAGGCAGCAGGCAAGTCACCATCCAGCCAGAGGGAAAACAACCCAGCCCGAGTGAAGACTCCCTAAGGCAGGGCTCCCCGCCCTCTTTAAGCAGGCAGTCACTTTTAATTTAAGCGCAATCCAAGAGCTACCTCAAACACCTTTGCCCCACCTTTCTACCCCTTCTGAGACCTCGCCCCTGCTCACTCCAGCCTCCCTTTCACCAGGCTGGGGCTGAGGGTTGGGGTGCTGGCTCTGGTCTTGGGTGAAGGGATTTGGAGTGGGAAGGGCTCTGAGCTGACCTTGGGGCCGGCAGTTGGGACGTAGGAGGGGTTCTAGGTGCAGGCTCGGGGAGAGTGCTTGGGGCAGGAGCCTGGGGTGCAAGAGGGGGTTCAGGACTGGGGTTTCAGGGTGTGGGCTCGGCCTGGGCCCTGCTTATCTCTGGTGGTGGTGCAGTGAGGCTGGGGCAGGCTCCCTGTCCTGGCCCTGCACCACTCCCCAAAGCAGCCAGCACTCTCCGTCCCGATATGCCCCTCTCTGCTCTGTGGTGATAGGATACAGGGTGGGAGAGGGGGCAACTTGACAGCAGCTCCGCCCTGCACAGAAAGCAGGAAGCTCCTAGGGGTGGAGGGTGTTGGTCCCCCCCCCCCCCCGCGGGGGCAGGCCCGGGCCAGCTGCAGCCCTAAGGGCAGGGGCCCACCGTTTCCCCTGCATGACAGACGGGGGTTTACTCCCGAAACGCATCTGTCCACGGGCGCCACACGGGCCCTGCCCCAGACTGCTTCCTCCCTTCCTGGGGCCCGACTGCCGGCCCCCACGTGCCTACCGTGGTTCTGATGCGGGGTGTCTGGGGATCCCGCGCCTCGTCCCGGCTGGGTCTCACCCCCCTCGGGTGGCGAGGGTTCCCCCGCTCGGGGCCGGGCTGGCCGCCCGCCGCCCG